TCAGTGTTTTCCATGCTTCCCTCTTGGGACAGTACTGTTCTGTTGCCCATGCTACTGCACACCATCAGCCCTGAATGTTTCTTACTATCCAGTGTGAAATGGGAAGGTCAAGCAAGTCCTGGGGTTTGCACCAGACATGCCGCAGGAACTCACACAATTGGCGGATGCCCAGTACGATGACTTGGTTTAAATTAAGCAGCTCAGTGGTTTTCAGGAGACATAAATGTGGAATGTTTCTGCCTCTTCAGCAAGTGTCAGGACCCCTTACTCGCCTGGGCTCACAGGCTCTACAGACCCTGCAGTGGTAATGCAGGGCTCTGGTGTTAAATCTGTCCTCTCACCTGAAGGCTGCTGTTCCTTAGGCAGCCAGTGTTAAACAAATGACATGCTGTCTAGAGAGAAGAGTATTTAAATTACACTTCCGAACTCTGGTTGCCAAAAGGAAGCCCTCTGGGGTATAATATATATATTTGACATGCATTTGCAGTGTGTAATTGGAACCATGAGAAAGGGTTTTGTTCAAAGCTATTGAACAGTTTCCTTATTTTAAACCTGTTGAATCTAGAAAGGGCTGTTTCTAGATTTTTCTGTGAAAGTGACTTTATATAAAAGTTTTGGGCAAAAAGTTTTTTGTTCCGGTGGGGCTGTCACCTCCTACCCTCATAGTGCCTGTGTGGCCACTGAGGTTCAGTTGTCCTTGTCTTCTGGGTCCCTGAATGTCAGAGCTGGGAGCCTAGGGCCTCCTTTTCACATGGCAGAGGCTGGACACAACCCAGGAAATCAGATGCATCAGGGCCCTGTTCAGGAGGGGCAGAAGCAGGCTGACTTGTCTTCTCATGCCAGGTTGTAGCTCTCACTAAGTTAGGATGAATGAGAGGTAGCAGGCCGTTTCCTTGTTTCTTGGTACAGAATCTGTCATTCTCCTTTTTCCCCTGAGCTGTGCAAATCTGTTCATTTCCAGAGATCCACAGGCAGAGCTTCTGGCCCTTGCTTGGCCAGCCTCTGCCTGTTAGTGAGACTTTGCAGGTTGACTGCAGCCATCTGCTCACCTGCACTGTGTGTTGGCTCTTTGTGCTTGCTGTGGGTTTATGTAGGGTCCTCAGGTTTGTCAGAAGAATGGCAGGATGGAGACTCTGAAGTCTGTGCTGTGAGCCAGGGTAGAAGGAGGCTGGTTGGGTCTTTGCAATATCAGTAGACAAGGCAGACTGTGGGGTCTCAGTGGGCACTGTGCTGTTCTTCTTTGACTTAGCACTGAGGAAATATACAGGAGGATGTGGGAAGCCAGCATCTTTGTGACATTGGAAAGACAGGCAGCTCCCCAGGACACAGCAGGAGAATAGGCAAGGTGTGTGTGTGCACCTGCAGCCTGTGGTTCATGAAGCCTCTCATGAACTGACCTTCCTTGAGACAGAGGCATAGGCTGAGTGGGTGAACCCTTTAGGTTACCTCCCATGCAGTTAGCTCTCTCTGCAGTGAGCCAGTTGGGCCTGAGAGGTCTGAGTGTTAGGATGGTGCTGTCAGCTCTCCCTACAAGTCTGAATGCTGGGACGTTGCTGTCAGTGGATGAAGACCTGTCATCTGAGTGCTTGTGGCTGGTTTGTGTCACTAGCCAGTGAAAAGGGTGCTTTTAAAAACCATCTCTCTTTAAGTTGGGGCAGAAATCTGGGCTCTCTGGCCAGGATTGGGCTCTAGCTCTCCAGTGTGCAGGGTATGAGATGTCTACCTGGTGGGGCTGCCCCCAGTGTACCAAGCAGTTTTCTTGTGTGGAGCTGAGTGAGGGGAGGTGTGAAGTGGATCTCGTGAGTGCTGACACTGCACTCATAGTTGTCTGCTTGGAAATTGATTTTGTCCTGCGGAGTGACAAATTGACACTTGGAGAGAGCATCTGGATCCCCTGAGGCCAGAGGCTTGCTGGCTGTCCTTGCCCAGAGAATCTGGGCCGCTGTACCCACATGAGCCCTAGGGAGTCTGGCTGGCAGCGACACCACACTCATGGATGCTTCCCTTCCATAGGTGCCACAGCCAATTATCCTGATGTTGTTTGGCCCCAGTGGGCAGCCCTATTAGCACAGAAGTGGATTTGAGCCATGCTAGCAAATTGGGAGTGATTCCAGATCAACCGGGAGTGTTCTAGCTAGAACAGCTGAGGATATTTTAAGCATTGCAGGTTTGGTTTAGTTTAAGTTGAGATAATTGTAGGGGTAGCTACCTAATCTACAGCAGTGCTCTTGTTAGGTTTTCATTTCAACATGGTTCCAGGGCCTGGTGGTAAGCTCCATGTTCAAAAGAGGAACATTAGGCACTTAGAAAAGCGGTGGACAGACTTTCAGATAACTGGGCTCAGTTTCTGGTCTGTAGGCTCACGGCAGCCTACCACTCTGGAGAGTTGGCCTGATGGTGCCAGCTCCTCCTTGGGTGGGGAGAGGACATAGCAGGGGGCAGGGTTAGCTCTGGGATGTGTTCTGCGAGGCTTGTGGGCAGCTGGGTAGAGTCCTGTGGCTCTTGAGAAGGAGATAGTGGGAGCCCTGCACCGTGCCTGAGGATGGCATGGCTGCCAGCAAGAGCAGCTGCTTGGGGAGATGGGACAGGCTCCATCTTGGGTGTCCAGGAACTGCAGTGTGTCCCAAGTGGGGTGTCCTATTGCTGCTGTGTTCAGGAAATGAGACTTGGCAGAGGAGTGTCCCTGACTGGGGTCTTTAACAGTATGTAGGGTGACCTTGGAAGGTGAGGGGACCGACACACCCTGTTGTTCCCTCAAGATCCTTGTGTGCAGACCCCTTGCCCGATTGTCCTGTGTGCACACCTGCCATGGGGCGTGTCACCTGATGGAAGTGGATATTACCAATATCACAGTAACTGTGAGTTTTAATTTCAGAGTAAGTTCATTTTGTGTAGTTTTAGGTAAGTTTATAAATAAACATTTTACAATCTTATTAAAGCACTATGTGTTTTTAAAACTATATGGAATCCATATCCATTTTTTCGTTGCTATTTATATAGAATAGACGATTCCTAGGAGCAAAAAGGCAGAGGCACATTTGAATATAACATTCACAATCTTGCAGTTGTTTCTGTGATTTTTTTCACTAGTCTATTTCTGCATGTGATTTTTTAGTGGATAATTGTGTGCTGACAGTTGAACATGCAAACGAATGGTGTCCCGAGTGTTCACACTGATTGCTGCTGCCCAGTCTGCAGCAGGTAACAGGGCCGTGCTGCTGGGTGGGTAAGTGTGGAGTGTGGAGTGGAGTGTCCTGAGAGCAACGTCTGCACAGTTTTGGTGGGTGGACCATTCTGGAAGCAGGCTGGCTCTTCTCATCCTGCTCTTGGAGTGGCCCTGCACGTCCCATCTCCTCCCCACTGGCTTTTGAGCTACACCCTCTGATCTCTGTATCAGCTTTGATCTCTCACCCTGAGGAGTCCTGGGTGACCTGCACAGGCCTCACTCCATTTTGTGTGCCCACGAGCCCTGTGGCTGTCGTCTGCAGCTGGCACTTGGCCAGCAAGGGCAGCCCTTGAATCCACATTGTGCTCCACATTGTGCTGGAGCCTGTTGCTGTATTGTGGGACATGTCGCTGAGGACACTGCTGGAGCTGTGCCAACATCAGTACGCTTGATGGCCTCTTTGGTGCTACTGCCTATTGTCTGTCAAAAGCCTCCGATGTGGTGTCTTAGGGTCACATGCTGACTGGTGGCAGTGATTCCACTGAGGTGGCTTCTGTACTTGAAGCAGGAAACGCCATCTCCAGCTCCTCCATACACTTTTGTTCTTAATTTTTATGTCACTGGTGTGAGCTGTTTAGTGTTCTTTGAACTTTTAGCATGGTTTTTTGGAAAATTCCATTTGGTAGGACTGTTTAAAAATCAGTACTCAGCCAGGTGCCGGTGGCTCACACTTGTAATCCTAGCTACACAGGAGGCAGAGATCAGGAGGATTGTGGTTCAAAGCCAGTTTGGGCAAATAGTTTGTGAGACACTATCTTGAAAAACCCCTTCACAAAAAAGGGCTGGTGGAGTGGCTGAAGGTGTAGGCCCTGAGTTCAAGCCCCAGTGCTGAAAAAAAAAAAATCCGTATCTTATGTTTGAATTGCAGAATAAAAATTTTTCTTAAGCTTTTTTTTCCTGTTACATTTTCTTATAGTCACCTTAAGAGGCTTTTAAAAATTAGTAACTGGTTCACTTATACAACTAGTTATATTCCCTGAAATATTTTAATAAGTGTAATATATATTATGTTTGAAGTGATGTACATGTCTATAATAAACCAGCCCTTCCAAAGTACTAGAAATATATGAACCTAATAAACTGAACAGATAAATACAATAAACTTTTAAATGTTCCCTGACTCTCACCACATCTTAAATTCTCCCTCCTGCATCACCAAGCACATGTGTGACATCAGTTACTTGGCTGTTTCCATTGGAATCAGAAGAGGGATCCATGTGTACTCCCCCCTTGGCTGCTACAGACACTTCAGGTGATAAATTGTAGGTGCTTCTGAGTCATCACAGGGCCACTGAGGGCTGACTCTGAGGACTGACGCCAAGGGCTCAGTGTTAGCCCTCAGTGTCAGCTCAGTTCTTTGAGACAGGGTCTTCCTAACTTTTTGCTTGAGCTGGCCTTGAACTATGAACCTCCTGTTTGCACCTGTGAAGTACCTGGGATTATAGGTGTGAGCCACCACGCCTGGCAAGTACTGTCATTTCTTTGTGTGATTTTTTTTTTGGGAACTTATATATTTATGTATATTTGGGTTTGAACTCAGGACTTTATGCTGCTGGGCAGGCACTCTACTGCTTGAGCCACACCTCCAACCCCTTGGGGAACTCTTAAAATACTTTTCTACCTGCTATGAGTTGGTGAATATTTTTTTTTTCTCTTCAGGTGTTTGTTTTCTGACCAGGTTGTAACTCTCATGGAACCACTCACACTGTCCCTCTGTCTGTGCTCCTGCCATGTAGCCTCCTGTCAGCTGCTCACTATCTTTGTCTCCTGCCAGTGGTCACTGTGATCCTGAAGGCATTGATCTACGATGAGAAGCGGGGTGCCTGCAGTGTGGGTGCCAATGTGAGGGATGCTGCCTGCTACGTGTGCTGGGCCTTTGCACGTGCCTACGAGCCGCAGGAGCTGAAACCCTTTGTGACCACCATTTCCAGGTAAAGTTTGTTAGTTGTCCCCATGGCACTGCACGTGGCATATCTCCTGTGAGAGGTGCACAGAACATTTGTGTTTTGCTCTATGACGTGAAGCAGCCCCAGAACAGCATCCTCCTGTGGGCAGGTGCTTCCAGCCAGGTGTCCAGAGGGACAATCGTGGAGGGTTGGGCTGTGGCTGGCAAGTCCTCGGGTGAGGCACTTGGCACCTTAAAGCCATGTGGTGGAAATATGGGGCAGGAGTGGTGCAGGGGCAGCCCAGAGAGTCGTGAAAACTCAGTGTCTGCTGTTGACAAGGCTGGTCTCTGTTTGGCCCTGACTTCCTGATTTTTGTAGACTGTGCACTCACTGACAGCATTCCCATATGCACTTCACCTGCATCCAGCAACATGAAATGTACACAGCTCTGTGAGGAAGGGAAGTGTCCTGGGGAAAGAAGCCCAACCAGCAGGTTGCTATGGTCACCAGAGCTACCTCCTTTGTCCAGCAGTGGGCGGGGGAGGCTCCTGACTGGGCTCAGTGGGTCCCAGAGCCCCACAGTGGCTGGTGCCATTGCTTTCCTGCCTGACTTGGTTTGCTTGGAAAGATGCAAAATATCTGTGTCCTTGATGCAGCAGCCTCCTAGGTTGACTCTGTACTGGTCTGATACTCTGCTTGGGCCAAGGTTGAAGATGCCAGTGCTTGTTTGCTTTTGCTTCCTAAGGAGCGCAGGGATAGGTGCGAGTGGCTCTGTGTGTGTGTCAATTGCAGTGTGAGTATCTTCAGGGCCTCTTGGATTTAGTTGCTGTGTGAGCGAGCACCTGTGGGAGGCTGTGGCCTGTCTGCTGGCAGCACACTGTGGAACCGTGCTGGCAGCTCTGGGGGAAACCAGTGTGGACTCTTGAGGGCTCCATGACTGGAGCTCTCCTCTGTTCTCACCCAGGTCACCTCACCAAGCACTTAGCAGGGTCCAAAAAGGGAAGCACCTGTTTGCTTCCTGGAAGGCCATGGTTGGGCTGTATCTCCTGATCTGGTGAAGCCAACAGATGGAGGATCCTGTCCTGCCCCATTCTGGGAGATAAGGTGCTTCTGAGGAAGTCATAAACATGGAGATGTCTGTCTCCATCTGTCTTGTCTGCCTCTTGGAGGGGAGTGGAGCTGCCAAGCACTGGTGTTGGCAGATAGTTGTAGAGAATGGGTATCGTGGCCACCCATTCTTGATGTGGCCAAGAGCAGGTGTGATAGCACCTCTGTTCATTGCTATGCCTGGTGGTTTCTCCAGCTATGCTGCTGATTGGGGGCTTGGCTTCAGTTGGCCTTTATGAGTGTCAATGGGGAGTGGGAGAGGGCCAGGATGCCCAGGAGCCTCTGCTGAGCTCCTGTCCCTGTCCATAGCTTGCAGTCCTTCTGTCCTGCTCCTTTCCTACTTAGATGGGAACTATTTGTTGTTCACATGGCTTTTGGCAAGGTTTTTTCTGCTGCTTTCTTGTCCTGTTCCTCAGCTTCCTGGAAGCCAGTCCTATAAATGGAGTGGAAATATTAACATTTTCCCTTGTTGTTCAAGTTGTTCCCAGTGCAGTGAAACTCCTTCAGATTGACAGCTTCTCACTCAGCTCTGCAGCTTCTTTGTGCAGAGGGTGGGTATTGCCACTGCTTGGCTTCTCTGAGGATGGAGAGGGGACCGAATGCTGAGGGAGCCTGCCAAGTGGTCAACAAGTGCAGAGCTAGGTCTGGCAGCAGAAACAGTGCTGACCAGCTTGGAGGCTGTGGAGGACCCTTGACTCAGCTATGAGACTGCTTCCCACTTCAAAGTGAAAACAATCCTTACAGATTCCTTTCAGTCTAACATTTTTTTGAGCCATAAACTCCCAGGAGCTCTGCCTCTCCTTTCGCTCGGGATTGTCTGTGGTCCAGCAAGGCTGCAAGGAGGATACAGATTGGTGGGGGGATGGAGCGTGGCCCTGCTTGCCAGGAGAGCATGCAGTCAGGACATGCCCTTGCTAGTGACCCTGGGATCTCAAAGCCAGCCTGCCACCTCTAAAGCAGAGAGGTGCAGGCAGAACCATCCCAAGCAACAATGTCCCTATGACTGAAGAATTGGTGTGGTAACTGTGCTGCAGTTAAGAGTCACCACCTCTGGTTCTTCCCTGGGAGCTTAACTGTTTCTCGTTTTCAGAACTTACATCAACACTGATCGCCATACAGATTTTATAAAGGAAAACATTAGTCTTTGAAGAAAGTGGCTGATAGATGTGGGGCCTGGTCTTGGTGTGATGTGGGTCTGAAGTCTGGTGATGCTTGGTGCCCTGGCTCCAGGCACAGCAGGTCTTGGGCTCTGGCCTATGGGCGACTGTGTCTTCTTAGTCCTTAGCTTCTCTCATGTGCTAGAGCTGAGCATAGAATGGAGTTTCTATTGCTGGCAAGGGACCATGACACATTTTATCCCAGGGAGACCCCCCTTGTTACACAGGAAATAAAAGACAGCTGTCCCCTTGGAGCTGGCCCTGTGTAGGCTCCTGACCAAAAAGGTTCGCTTTCTGTGGTGACTGTAGTGTGTAGGTTGTGTGGACTGGCCGTGGTCTACCTAGAGCTCATATGAACTGAGAGTGTCCAGTGGCGGGGGAGTGGAGGCTTGGTAGTATGGTCTGGAGAGTGCAGGATCTTCTGGGAGCTTGTGGGTGGGCTTGGAAGTGACCTGGACACCGACAGGGCGGCCCAAGTGCCTACGGTTTTGAGAACAACTTAAGTCTCTATAACCCTAACTTCCATGCCAGGGAGTAATTGGCATGTGACCGTGTCTAGCTCAGTTTGTGGTAATATACCTGAGTCTGTTGCTCAGGGGAGGTCCGATTTAACTGATCTCCTGGCCAAGCCTGAGGATTGTTGGGGAGTTCACATCTGCTCTGTGGAAGCCACAGTGGGTCCTCATTTCAACCTCTTGATCTTCCCTACCTAAGCCAGGAGTCAGCAATCAGCACTGGCTGCCGAGGAGTTTCTGCTGAGAAGGCCCCTGGCCCCTCTGCCCACGCCCGCCCCTATGGGCAATAGTACCCTTTGGAGCTGTGCAGGTTTCTAGCTGGTTTGACAGGTTCTGAGGGAACCTGTGCCTGGCCCTTCCCTGCCCATCTGACTCCCGCCTGGCGGGGGATGGCGGGCAGGTGAGTCAGGTGCGCCAGTGAGTGGGGGAGCCCAGGCTCCGCACCTCCCAGTATCGGTTGGGTGTGCCCAGCCCTGCTCCCTGAGCCCTGTGTGGTGACCCTGCTTTAATGACCGGTTTAAGGCTCTTAATCCTTGATAAAATTGTATCTGTACTTTCACAAACTGCTAGTGGGTCCTGTAAGAATGGATAGTTTAGGTCAAGATGTAGCTCCCTAAGTAAAGCAGAAATGTCCCAGAGAAAGAGCCAGGGGGGTGGCTAGAGAAGCCCAAGTTCTCAGGACCAGTGCAGGGGCAGTGACTCAACTTTTCCTGGTTATTTCCTGATGTTTTGCTGAAAAAACTGGACTGATTGTCTTTACCTCTTGGTGTGAATTCTTTTGCCCCTGTTGTTTTAGGAATGTGAAAAGGAGCTTCTTAGGCTGGTTTTGTCTCTTTTGAAGTGTGTTCACTGCTTTTGAAAGCCCATCCTTCTCAGCCCTGCCAGGCAGTTGGAGAGTGAATGGCTATGGCACAGTGTAGGTGTAGGAGTAACAGATGTGTAAGATGAAAATGCAGTGGGATGGTGGCCATGATCTAGAACATTCCCTCTGACCAGGCATCAAAAGCCAGTTTGCAGTAAGGAAAAGAAAGAAAACCGCGCAATGCTGCCAGCTCTGCCTGTCACCTTCCTGTGATTTCCTCACCTGAAACTCTTCTGTAAACCAAGTGCCCGCCCCAGTGTGGCCCGCCCGTGCCAGGGGCAGCTCCTGACTCTCGCCTCCACTGCGCAAACCAAACCGGCTGGGCAGCGTGGGCTGCCTGCGAGGGGCCTGGGATTGGCTCAGCAAGATCTCTTCCTCTAGGGCAAGATTGTCCTGAAAAATCAGGAAGTGGCAAGTGTTGCTCAAAGCTATGTCTTGTTCTCGCTCAGCCTCCGGAATGGCCCTGCTTCCAGAGGGAGAGCCTTTTTCAGGAAAAGGCCAGCCTGCCTACAAGGCCCTGATCCTCTCTGGCTCAAGCTGACCTAAAAGCCTTTTAAAGTTTGGTTCTGTTGATGGCCTAGGGAAATTTAGCCAAAGGCAGGCCTTATGTTTTAATGTGATTTGTAACTTGCAAAAATATGGACAGATAATGAATTATTCTGATATTTAAAAAATGTTTAATTCAGAATGATGGACTATTTCTACTTGGGTAACAGTAGTGTATTTTGCTTTCTAGTGCTACATAATATCATAGAAATGAGGAAAACTGAGTTCGGGGGTGACCTTTGCTCTTGCTGGACCTGCAGAAAGGAGGTGCCTGAGGGCAGGTTGAGGCATGTTTTTCCCCCTTTACTCTGAGGAGAAAGAAGATCTCTGTCTGATGCAGCCGTGTCTGTATTGGGAAACCCTGGTGAAAGCAAGCAGGTGGAGACACCTGCAGTGCCTCTTGCTCAGATGGCGGCTGCCACTACTGGTTCACAGTTCGTGCTCCTCATGCCGTCTGAGGGCAAGAAGGGAGTTGTGAATCACACATAGGTTCACTCGCTAAGGATGATGGAGGCCTGTGGGGCATGGGTGCTCGGGGGAGCAATGGGTTAGGAAGGTGCTTTCCTATATTTGACCAATACCATTAAACCTGTTTGCATTTGAAACATACTAGTATTTCTAGATAAGCCAGTTTTGTTCTCAAAGTTGTTTTTAAAAATTTAGTCCAAATTGAAAGCCCAAATAAAAACCCTGTTTCGTTCATAAGTACACACATACTTGTTGACCTGACTTAGAAGCCTACAGTTAGTTAAAAGCAATGTTTTTCAAGCATCATTACATATCTCCTAGTATGTTCAGTGAAGTTTTAATAAAATCTATGGACAAAGCAGTGACTGCTTAAAGATGTTTGCTTATTCAGGAGAGGCTAGCTTGTTTAATGTGTCTGAGGCATCTCTGCCCTGGCTGGGCTGGGTCATG